CTTTTTAGCTTTTTAGCTTTTTAGCTTTTTAGCTTTTTAGCTTTTTAGCTTTTTAGCTTTTTAGCTTTTTAGCTTTTTAGCTTTTTAGCTTTTTTTTCTATACATGTCGGTTGGATGGATGGATGGATAGATAGGTGGGTAGATAGTTAGATAGGTGGATAGGTGGATGGATGGATGGGTGGATGGATGGATACGTAGGTAGGTAGGTAGGTAGGTAAGCGGAGGTTGATGGGAAGGGGGAGAGGGAGAGAGAGAGGGAGAGAGAGAGGTAGACAGACAGACAGACAGAGGTAGATCATGATATTAATACATTAATAATACAGCGATACAACAACAACAAGAAGAAAAACAACCCGTAATGTACAGTCGCACAAGCACAAGCCGTACCACACTAGAGAAGGAGGTCCGTGACAGTGGCAGCGGGCGGGCAACATCGCAACTGTTTCAAGTCTAGTTTCTGGTTGGGTACTTTTCTTTTCTTTCTTCTCTTTCAGGAATTCACATCTGTGGAATTCTGCAATCCTAATGGCTTTCTCACATTGCGCTCGCTCTGTTACTTCTCTACTCCTCTCCTAATCCAAGCCTCAGCTTTTGCCCTGTCCCTGTCTCTCGTGCCTCCTTCCTCATCCACTCGGCGCATATCCCATCCTCCAACGAGAAGCATATCCAGACGCAAGACGCAAAAAACTTCCCATGGACTGTAAACAGGGTGGAAGGACGGACGGCAAGGAGGAGGTGGTGGAGGTGGTGGGAGGTGGGGTATGAGAAGAACAAACAGAGCCCCCCCACCACCTCCGCTCCTTACCCGTTCCTTCCCAGAAGAAAAAAGAAGGTGCATCATGTGACCGGCCCCAACTGTGCTTTGCGCGCCAAAGGAAATACAAGAACGGATAATCAAGTGTGCGAGGAAAAAAAAAGGAAATTCAATCAGATCCCTCAACGCCTGGGGAGGGCCTGCAGGTCCATTCCCATCGAGTGCTTAGTGCTGAATACCGCGGCGGTGGTTGTGCAAGTGGCGCTTGCGGGCGGGTTCGCCGTATGAGGGGGCCGTCACCACGACCACGTCCAGGTAGTACTCGTTGATCATGACCATGCCATCCTTGGTGTAGGTGAGGGTGGTGTACATCCCATCTTCCGTCTGCGTCGCAACCGGTGGCAGCGAGCTGGTCATCAAGGTGGTTGCGGGAGGGGCCGGCTTGGGATCAACCGGCGGGGCAACGGGTTTCGGAACCGCGGCGTATTTAGGCGCCTTGTCAATCGGCGTTGGGAGGGGGATCGGGGTTGGTTTGTTGACGGGGTAGCCCACCGGGGTGGGGGTGAAGGCCGCAACCGGGACGTCAGGTTTGGGCTTGGGCTTGTAGGCGGGGACGGGGGCGGGGACGACGGGGGGCGGTACAGGCACGTAGACTTTCTCGGGGACGGCGGGAGCCGGGGCCTTCTTATCATCATCATCATCATCATCATCATCATCGTCATCGTCAGCCTTCTTCGAGCCGTGGGCGCCGGCAGCGTAGCCAGGACCGGGTGAGATGGCCGGGTTGCCGGGCAAGCTGTCCAGACTGGTCGAGAGTTAGTTCGGCGCACGGGGTCGGGGGGAAGGGAGCGAGACGTACTCTTTGGACACTTCCTCGTTCTCGAGCTCCTCAGGAAGATCGATCTTGCACTGTTGCGACTCTTCATCGCTCTGGATGTCGAAGACGGGGCAATCCGTGATCATGCCGCTCAGGTTGGTGCATGTATCGACGGCCCTCTGCAGGACATCCACGTCCCAGCCGGTCATGAAGTCGGCGTGGTAACCGAAACCTAGGAGTGGGTTGGCACGTCGTTTCGTTGGGGGAGGGGGGAAAGCTCAAACTCACCAGTGGGGTCGCCGTTCGCGATGATAAACTTGCCCTTCTTGCCAATGAAATTCTCCGTGGCCCAGATAATCTCGTAGAGCAGAGAGGGGACCCGCACTGGGAAACCCTCGGGGCAGGTGCCACCCATCACGGTGCTGGGGTAGGCGACGTGGGACTGCTTGTCCTCGGAGGTGACGTCCTTGCCGTTCCAGCACGAGGGGAACATCAGCTCGAAGCGCACACCATTGGCGCAGTTGGCATCGAGGTACTCCTTGTCGGGTAGGAAGTGTCGGTACAGGGTTGCCTCGGGGGCTCTCTGGTAGTTCAAGCAGTTGAAACCGACGGCGGCTTGGCGGAGGAAGGGCTGTTCGGTGAATTCGCCGGTCCATGCCGATTTCTCGAGGTCGGGGACCGGGTAGGTGAAGTTGCGCTGGTTGGTGTCACCGATGAGCATCTCGAACCCAGCCGGGAAGGCAGTGATCTTGTTGTCGCCGGGGTTGGGCTGCAGTAGGTAGTAGCTGTTGTGGTGGTGGTTGCTTGTTAGCGCATGATCGAAAGGAGCGAAGGAGGATCTCTTCGATCTCTCCCCATCTCTCGCGGATGGGAAGGTGCGGAAGGGGGGAGAGATCGAAACGAGGTCCACCGGCCGCGGGCAGAGATCTCGGATCTCGAGAGTGAGTATACTAGGGCTGGTGGAGGCGCGTAACGTGCGCGTGCGAGGGACGCGTAACAGAGGGGGTGGACTTACGCAAGCATACCACCCATCTGCTCGACGAGAGTGAACTTTCCATCTTCCCCCTGGAAGTAGAGGGCCGGAGCCCAGTACACTGATTTATCTTGGGTCACGGCACAACTGGTGCAGTCTCCCGCCACGAGATCCTCGTACTTGGAGTCGACGCCGAAACCTAGATCCCAGGTCAGCACTCCTCTAGTTTGATTTGGACGCGCCGGGTTGGTCCCCACCGCGCGGGACGCATCACCCAGAGAGCCCCGGCGCGTCGAAAGCGGCAGGGCAGAGAGGAGGAGACGACGACGAGAGAAAAGGGGCACCCGCGCGCGCGCGCGCGCAGCCCACGAGGAAGGGGAGACTTACCAGAAGAGCCGTGGATCACATGGGCGTGGTGCGCGGCCTCACCGGGCGAGACGAGGGGATCGATTCTGGCAACCGCAGTGCGACCGCGACAGGGCATACGCCAGAAGCCTTGAGCTGGGCCGATGAGACCGGCCAGGAGCGTGGCCACCACGGGGACGGAGCGCGGGTGGACGTGCATCTTGAGGATAGCGCTGCGTGAGAAGGATGTTTGATGTGTGATGGAGAAAAGGAATGTGGATCACGAGAGTCAATTGACTGCGCGCGATCGTCTGGGAAGGGATGCGTGTGTTGTGGTGGTGTGGTGGTGTGGTGGTGGAGAGGGAAAGTCGACGCTCTCGTGAGGCGAGGCGAGGCGAGAAAATTTCTGATATCCCTTCAAGCGGTGACGGCTTTTCCACGAAGCGCCAGGGCGGCTCTCGTGGCTGATAGCCGCGAGATCACTGTCAGCGACGGTGATGGTCTGCCTCCCGCCGACGTATCTTCGGCTGGAAGGGATGCGACGAGCCCAAGGATTTTCTCTCCCGATGCACCAATTCCCACCCCAAAGTTCTTGTCCTGGCGGCGCGACGATTCCACGCACGATGTTTTTCCCTTTTCGCTGAATGCTTCTTTCTCTTTCTTCTTCGTCTCCTTCTTCTCCTTCGTGTTGCGTGTCGTTGCGCAGGGAATCCACTGTCTCGAGATGGTCGCGGTTTCCTTTTTTTTTTTTTTGTGTTTCTTTTCCTTTTTCTTTTTCTTTCTGCGATTGCGAGCGTCACGTCACGTCGAAGAGCTGGTTTCTCTTCCACAAAGCTTTCCGGAGTCCAGAAGGGTCAAGGACGGGCGATCAAGATGATGTCCTTAGCAATGATGATATGTTGAACGAGTGTCTGCGGTGATACTTGCGCCAAAGCCAAATGAGTGAGGGTGGATAAGATGGGAAGAGATGGGAAGAGATGGGGAGATGGGACCCGAACGAAACGGAATGCGAATGAAAGGGTAGGCGAAAAAAGGAGTGTGGAGTCGCGAGCGACGGCGAGGTAACGGGAGAGTAACAGGAGCAACAGAAAGGGAAGGGGGAGGGGGGGGAAAGGGAAGGGGAGACGAACGGGGAAGGGGAAGGGGCAAATGGATAAAGAGCAGGGGCGAAGGGGGAGAGGGAGGGGGAGGAGGTGGGAGAAAAAGTAAAAAGAGAGGACAGCCCACAGGAACCCGGGCAACCAGACGCGCCGGGAGATTGGAATGGGGTCTCATCTCCTGCCAAGCGTTAGCCGTGCATGGGGGGGGGGGGTCTATGGGATGGTGATTGGATGGGGAGGATGGGATGAGGGGGGATGGCGATTGGATCGATAATGGGATGAGGGGGATGGTGATTGGATAGCGCAGATGGGATGATGGGATGATGGGATGATGGGGATGATGGGATTGGATGGGGATGGAGATGACCTGGGGTGACCTGGGACGACCTGGAAATGATCTGGGATGGCCTAGGGTGACCTGGGATGCCCTGCCGGTCTGATGGTTTATTGGAGTACCTACCTACCGTACCTAGTAGGTAGGTACAGTACTGTACTGTAGTACCGGTACTACGTGCTACGTACTACTACTACGTACGTAGTACCTTCTTGAAGTCAGATCAGACCCTGATACCCTGGTACCCTGGTACCCAGAGTCGGATCCATACCATAAATACCATCACGTCTGTCCCTCTGATTACGGTACGCTCCGTGCAGCCGGGCTCCCCGTATCATCTCGTCTGTGGGATGTGGAATGTACAGTACAGTACGTAGTACGTAGGACGACGTAGTCACTCGGAAAAAGGGCAGATGCATACCAGATACTACATGGTTATTGATGTGTGTGGATATAACATGCATATTATAGATAATATCTAACATATACCGTATAATATGTGGATGAGATCATCCCGAGATCGGTACGTAATACATCGACATGTCATTCATTATACTTACCCGTACCTGCATGTACAACGTACATCTCAATCTGCATCCCACTCGGCCAGTACCGGTCAGTACCGACCTCCCCCAACCTCCCCCAACCTCCCCCAACCTCCTTCCCCTCCCGGCGCCAAACGGCAAACATGAAACGACAGCCAACGGACTGGGCATCACATGGCCACCGCATTGGCTGATCCCACAATAGCAGCCCTCAGCCCCATGCAAAGCCCGGTCGTGGCTCAGGGGCGATACCGGGCTCCTATTAAGGACCAGTGTGGGAGGACCGACGCGTCAGGTGATGCTACATTCAGTACCTACCCACGTATATGGTGGCTGTATTCTCGAAATAGGAATGATCGCGCGGCCGAGTCGCGACTCGTGATAGTGGTTTATACGTGGAGTTGAAGAGTTGTGTATATATATAGAAAGAACGAAAAAGAGAGA